ATCTTAGTGTCATTTCATCTGGAAATACTTTAGTATGAGTTTCAAAGATAAAAACTTTAAAAAATATGACTACAGTACAAAGCCCAGCCGGAGTTGTTTAGTGATTTCACATCGACCTATGAACCAGGAGGTCACAGTTCAATCCCCAGTATGGGGCACGCAGGAGGCAACTGATCATTGTTTCTTATTATTGATGTTTCTCTTTCCCTCTCCTGCCCTCTCAGAAATCAATTTTTAAAATATTTTTAAAGTAAAAAATGAACTCTAGATTTTAAAGTAAATTGTGTGGTTTTAAATTGTGGATTATATAAAATCCAACATTGAATGGAAATGTGAAACTTTATTTAAAATTAGTTGGAGCTGGTTTGTAGGATATCATGTCAAATAATAAGCATTCTAATTTAGAAAAAGAACTCAACCTATAAAGTTCAGAACTAATCTGTAGATATAATTTACTCTGAAGCTTTTTTGAGGCAGTATTCTCTTAGGACCAATGAATAGATCTGAAAATTATGATTTTATTTCCTCTGGAAAATCTGGGACTTTTGAATTGAGTAACCTTTCACCCACATACAGTTATTATATTACTAACTTGATTATTTGCTTTCATTAATGAATCCAAAACTTAGGATGTTATGATATATACCTTTTTCCTAGTAAGAAAATTCCCTAAAAGACTCTGTAAACCAGAAGTTCCCCTTATGTTGACTACTCATCTAAAACAAGGCTTATAAACTGCTTGTTGTGTCCTATTGGTAGATGATTAGAACACTTTAGTAGGCCCTGGCAAGGTGAAATGGAATAGAGAATAGTGTGTTTTTTACTGAGTTAGTGCTGTTGGGCTAGCTTTTTTGTTTCTTTTAATATGTTTTTATTGATTTCAGAGAAAGGGGGAGAAAGATAAGAACATCGGTGATAGGAGAGAATTATTTTTTTTAAATATATTTTTTTTATTGATTTTTTACAGAGAGGAAGGGAGAGATAGAGAGCTAGAAACATAGATGAGAGAGATACATTGATCAGCTGCCTCCCGCACACCCCCCACTGGGGATGCGCCCGCAACTAAGGCACATGCCCTTGACCGGAATCGAACCCGGGACCCTTCAGTCTGCAGGCTGACACACTATCCATTGAGTCAAACCAGTTACAGCTATAGGAGAGAATTATTGATCAGCTGCCTCCTGCACGGGCCCCTGCTGGCGTTAGAAAAGTTTAAGTTTAAAAATTTTGGCTCTCAAAAGAAATTTCAATTGTTGTACTGTTGATATTTGGCTCTATTGACTTGCCAACCACTGCTCTTCTCTATCCACTGAACCAAACCAGCTAGGGCTTGGGCAAACTTTTATTTGTGTAAAGTGCTGAGATATTAAGTAATGATATAAAGTGTATTTCTTGGTGTTGGTCACAGCCAAAATAATTTTTTTGAATAACATATGTAAGTACCTAATTGGAGTTGTCATCTAAATACATGGAACCCTCAGATGTGTTAAAAAAAAATTTCAAATAAGAATACCCATATTGGTGAGACTAAAGTAGTTGCTAGGCTTATGACTTCATTGCTTACCCCCTTGGTAAGTACCAACTAATATAATTGGGAGTTGAAAGCAGTGTAGATGCTTCATAATGTTTGAGTGGATAAATTGAAGTCTACCTAGATGACCCCAATCCCACTGCCTTGTCATGTCTTCAGGGAACTAACTGCTTAATGTGGAAAGCTAAGAAACTGAAATCCTGTAGAACTGCCTACATCAGACAGGGTAGTATTTAAGACTGCTTCAATAATTCTTTTTTTTTTTTTTTTAATATATTTTATTGATTTTTTTTTTTTTTTTTACAGAGAGGAAGGGAGAGAGAGATCTAGAAACGTCGATGGGAGAGAAACATCGACCAGCTGCCTCTTGCACACCCCCTACCGAGGATGTGCCCACAACCAATGTACATGCCCTTGACCGGAATCGAACCCGGGATCGTTCAGTCCACAGACCGACGCTCTACCACTGAGCCAAACCGGTTTCGGCTGCTTTGATAATTCTTAAGAAAGTGTCTAGAGCATGATTTTCACCCTGTACATTTCATGGCATATATAAACTAATTTCTGAAATCCTGCAGCACACCAGAAAAATATATTTTTTGCCAATCTGACCAAAAAAATAGGTATGATTTTGATTTATTAATATTGGACAGCTATTGTTGCATTGGCTGTTGTTATTTTGTATTGGACAATCTAAGGGGAAAGAGGTCAGTGCCCCTGACTAACTAGTCAAGTATTGCATGTTTTAAAAAAAAAATTTCTTTTTTTTTTTTTTATATATATATATGTTTTATTGATTTTGTACAAAGAGGAAGGGGGAGAGAGAGAGAGCCAGAAACATCGATGAGAGTCATCGATCAGCTGCCTCTTGCACACCCCCTACTGGGGATATGCCCGCAACCAAGGTACATGCTCTTGACCGGAATCGAACCCGGGACCCCTCAGTCCCCAAGCCGACGTTCTATCCATTGAGCCAAACCGGTCTCGGCAATATTTTAAAAATTCTTGAAGGGCACCATTGTGCCTCTTGCTGCACATTGGTGGAAAAATCACTGGTCTTAATGCAAGGATGTCAAACTCTCGTCCCATGGGCCACATGCCTCATTTATTTGGTCGGTGTTAGTCTAAAGTATAAAACCACTTGGTTTTGTAAGGCTAGGGTGAAATGAGCAAGTTGTTGAACTTTGGTTAGTTTAGTTAAAATACTGCTTCCCTGAAATGGGGTTCTTCTGTCTTCCCAAAACTGGCTTCTTATCCTACTACATTCTTATTAGTGTCCCCATTATCTTATTACCATTCATTGAGGCAGCAGCTCTTATCAAAGCTCTTCTGGCTCCCTATTCAATCTGAGGTCATCTGACCCTATCTTTTCAGTTCTACATGGAACACACTCCATAAGTTCTCATATAAATATTTAATATGCCCTTTCAGCAAGCCTCCTTCCCTCCATTTTCCTGATTTATTAAACATACACATGGAATTTATCATCTCTATATGCTCCCCTTCACCTTAAATAAAAATGATTGTAACTATTTTTTTTAACATATACAACAGGTCCTCAAATAACATCATTTCATTCAACCCAGGTATCTTAATAACATTGTTGTGATGCTCTAGGAACTTAAACTCTTTGTTTATATTAATTAGTCTATGCCAAAATTGTTTTAATACATATATTTTTAACTTTTAATTATTTGAGAGAGAGTCACTGATTTGTTGTTCCATTTATTTATGTATTCATTGGATGTTTCTTGTATGTGTCCTGACAGATCAAATTGACAACCTTGGTATATGGGGATGATGCTCTAACCAACTGAACTATATGTAGGCTGGTTCTTTGTTATATGTTATCTTGCTTAAAGTCACAGAATCTATCAATGATAAGAGAATATATACACAAATATAGTTATTTGTGTTTTATAGGTGCTACTCAGTTGTGAGCTGATTGAAGGCGAGGGACTGTTTTCCATTGGATATTTAATAAATGTTGCATAAATGAATTTAAAGTATTTTTCATATTCTATTTTGACATTTTTCTGTATGTTTATACCGTATCTTATGTATTCATTAGACAGTTCTATAGAGTATCTTATTGAAAGTAATTTAGGTTTTATGGTATTGAGATAATAGCAGTTGTTTTGCACACTATCAGCAGTGTTAAAAATGCACAATAAGTAACATTTGCTAACCCTTGGAGAGGGGAAAGTGGGATGCAATTCATTTAATAAACCTATTTTTTTCTGGTGTTCTTAGGACAGAATACAGAACAACTATATTTCTGTCCCTGCCTCCCTCCCTTCTTACCTTCCTTCCTCCCTCCCCTCTCTAAAATCAATAAATAAAACATTTTTTAAAGAATTATATTTATTACCAAATATTTAGCTGTTGTTTATTTCAAGGGAAGATGTGAAATTTCTTCCATGATACTTCTAGCAATATATGGAAATGAGGTTGCATTCCAGGCTGACATTCATATTTCCCCTGCAAAAAGGATGACTTTGAGCAGATGTTTGGTTGTTGAAACTCATTTGTTTTAAATAGTTCCCCTTCCTGTTCATTCATTCATTCTTCATTTTAATAGATTACTTTTAAGAGCAATTTTGGGTTCACGGCAAAATTGAACAGAAATTACAGTTTTCTATATAAACTCTGCCCTTGCACATACACAGCCTCCCTTTTGCAGAATAGTAGTACATTTATTACAATCAATGAATTTCTACATTCATAACGTCATTATCTACATCATGTCATTATCACTCAAAGTCCAGTTACATTAGGGTTCACTTTCAGTGTTGTACATTCCGTGTGTTCGGACAAATCTATAATGACCCCATTTATTTTTATATTATCTATAAATCATTATTAACCTCAGGTTGTAGGTGGTGGTGATAATGGTACTTGTTACTCTATACATATATACTGTGTGTTAGGCAGGGTTTTTATTTTAAGCACCTTACTTTTTTTTCCCCCCCAATAACTCAAGGTCTTTATTAGTATTAACCCAACTTCACAAATAAATAAATGCTTAGAGAAGGTGAGCTTAGATCATATGGCTAGTAAGTAGTAGAGCTGAGATTTAAACTGATACCTCTGCAAATTGTCAGTGATGAGGCACAACAATCAAGGTCCAGCCTTTGCCACTTCTTAGCTCTGAACCAAGGACAAGTAAACCACTCTAGTTATAACTGAGGACATAACATTGAGGTTTAAATGGCTAAGTAATATGCACCACACATTTGAGGACCCAGTGAAGTAAAGCATGGGGAGAGGATTCTATGATTCTGGGGGTATTTCTGTCACTATGAAACGGGCACCTTTTTGATAAATAGTATTTGGAACACTCCTATAATTTCCAGGTGATGTAATTGTACATTTTAGTGGAATGTGTAGCTGACTGGATGGCATTTTTATTTTTCCTGATCTGGGACAGGAATATACGGACAGACTTGAATACTGTTTCCCCTCCTAGGTCTCGCGGCACTGCTGGTGGCCATGGTTCCCGCACCCAGAAGGAGCTGCCCACAGAGCCCCCCTACACAGCATATGTAGGAAATCTACCTTTTAATACGGTTCAGGGAGACATAGATGCTATCTTTAAAGATCTCAGCATAAGGAGCGTACGACTAGTCAGAGACAAAGACACGGACAAATTCAAAGGTGAGTTTGGGGAAATGCTTACTTTACATTATTGTAAGGGGTGTGTGTGGGGGGATGGTCGGGGGTCTAAACCAGAATGTTTTAGTGAACCCCACAGGGCTCTAATTATGAAAGTGTTTTAAATGTTTGCTTGGTCCAAGTAGCTGCAATAAACATAGCACTTTGACTCATAGGCCTTCAGTTCTACCTGGGGGGAAATGTTTTATACATCATCTAGTTCGTAGAAATATGTGTCTTATATTCAAGTAAACCTATTTCTTTGCCTGACCTGTACAGCAGTCTTGTCTGACACTAAAGGAGTTAATGGAGAGAAGTGAACAAATAAATATGAGGATTTTTCTGGTGTATTTCACCTTAGCCAACTTGTGCATTTTTCTTGGTAGTTTTTCTATAGTTCAGTTATTTATTATAAATTCCAAAAGGTAAACTAATAAGTGTTATCATTGTACATTTGTGACTTCAGAGTATGTGTTTGGGAGAGGGTTGAGTCAAATTTCAGATACAGTTAGAGCCTATAGATTAGTATCTTAGAGGCAATTGAGCAGAGGAGAAAGAATGAAGAATCAAATGACATCATCATCTAGCTTTCAAGATTGCCTGAAGGGAAACATGCCCAGTAGTTAAGTGCCTGGTGCAAGGTATAAAGGCATTTGGTTTACATTATTTATCCAGAAGTATGGCCATGAAAAGTAGTCGCTGTGGTGACTTACAGTGGGGAGCTGTACAAGAAGCAGAGGTGCTGCTCCTGTGAGTGGTTCTGTATGTAGTGGGTTTTTTTTTGTTTTTTGTTTTACCTTGTTGAAAGCTTTTTGACTTTAGAACCTGAAACTTTGTTACCGAGTGATTATAAACAGTGAAAACAAATATAATGATTAATCTTCTGTAAGTCCCACCTAGTTTGCTTGCTAAAAAGCATTTAGGAATTCAGAGTTAAGGTAAAAATGTGTAGGTGAAGCCAACCTTTGGGGATGGGTCAGTAGAGCAGCAAGTTTTAGACTATCTCATAGCAAATCATCTTCCATTTCAGCAGCTCTAGGGTGTGAGATGTGTGACTGGCCTGGGGTTGACTCCTTGAATTTTGGAGAGGTTTTCTCAATTTCTCTAAACATTGAAGCTATTTAGGGAAGAAGGTGGGAGGGCAGGGGACACTTTCCAGCCAAGCAATACATTCTTTGTGTAAGTACTTACTGAGCAAATGGAGAACAGGAGTAGTTTGGACCCAGGCCTTCAAAGCACTTGCAGTCTAGTGGGCTTTGAAGGTAAAGTGTAATCAGGTAAGTATACTCTGCAGTAGTGGGGGTGTGCAGGGTAGAGTGTGAGCATATTACAGCAGGGAAAGTACTTAACCCCGATGTAGTTCCTGGGTGGCAAGGAACATGGACAAGAGTGTTGCGCCTAAAAAGAAAGGCTTATTCAGAGGTTTTTATACCAACTACCTAGTAGTAGTAGGCACCTCCAGCCTCTCCTTCAAAGCATATCAATATTGACTTTGCCCTAAACTGTTTGGCTCAGTGGATAGAGCGTTGGTCTTCGGACTGAAAGGTTCGATTCCGGTCAAAGTCATGTACCTTGGTTGCAGGCACATTCCCAGTAGCGTGTGTGCAGGAGGCACTGATTGACGTTTCTAACACTCTATCACTCTCCCTTCCTCTGTAAAAAATCGATAAAATATATTTTAACAAAAAACTTTGAAATCTGTCTTAAAACTCCAAGTACAGTATATCAAAAGTCATTCAGAAGTCAGAACCAACAACTCTGCTGAAAGGTTTTAATATTATGGTTAAAACATAAGAGAGCTTTATAAAAACACAGCTGCTATTTTAGTGCCTGTTTGATTAGTACTTTCTGAAAAAATATAACTAAGAGAGGAATACCAATCAAGTTCTCTTTATTAAAATATATTTTTATTGATTTCAGAGAGGGAGGGAGCGATAAACATCAGTGATGAGAGAATCATGATCGGCTGCCTCCTACACACCCTCTATTGGGAATCGAGCCCATAACCCGGGCATATGCCGTGACTGGGAATCGAACCATGACATCCTGGTTCATAGGTCAGTGCTCAACCACTGAGCCACGCTGGTGGGCAAGCTGTCTTTATTGAAAAGTAAAAATGTTCTTTCAGGCTCTACTAGTCTGCAGTCATCTAAATGCAACAAAAGTGGTAGTTCTGATGTGGACAAGTTGTACAAAATAGGAATCCCATCATAGTGTTAACCCATAATTTCTTGAGGAAATGGAGTGTTTTCTTTCTTACAGGATTCTGCTATGTAGAATTTGACGAGGTGGATTCCCTTAAGGAAGCTTTGACATACGATGGTGCAGTAAGTTTGTTCAGGTTTTCTCTGTCATGTTGTTAGTAGTTGAGTTTTTTTCTTGCTAATACTTATGCTGTTTTCCTCTTATCATTAGCTGTTGGGTGATCGGTCACTTCGTGTGGACATTGCAGAAGGCAGAAAACAAGATAAAGGTGGCTTTGGATTCAGGAAAGGTGGACCAGATGACAGAGGTGATTGGTTCTTCTAAAACTAAACATGCAACTTACTGGTTACAACTCTGGAAGGTTACTGTAGAACTCTCTTGTAGGTCTGATAGATTTTTGTGAACTTTTATAAACATAAAATCTTAGAATAGATGATGCTTCTGCAAGCCTGGGGTTGTTTTCCTGTTGGCAGCAAAAACTCTTTAATTTTGTTGAACTTCCCATCACAAGTTGTACATCGTCCCAGTGAATTTTTCCATGTGTTTGCAGCAAGGTAATGATCAAACCTCAACTTTATCTTTTTTGTGTATCCTCAGGAATGGGTGGCCCTCGAGAATCTAGAGGTGCATGGGAGTCCCGGGATGACTTCAATTCCGGTATCAGTATTTAAAGTATCACCACTTAACCTTTTCCAATGGCCTTGCTGCTGTTGTACATTTCTTGTGCGTAGCCGGCCTGGCCGGACTACTTCTTTAATGCCTTTGACAAATGAAACTTTTCCAGAAGGTACCCAGGCATGCAATAAGCCTCTATTAGAACCTAAATATTTGGGGTAGGGCCTGTCAGTCTGATCCACCTTATTTTGTTTGTTACCTTTCCTTAGCCAGCTGTTCATTCTCACAAGGTCTAGCCTAAGGAAACTACTCGGTGGCTCTTGTTTGTCTGTACCGCACAAATAGAATACTGTTTGTGACGTCTAGAAATACAGTTTGGAGATTTTAGAAACTCACAGAAGCCTTTTAACTGTGACTCCTAGTGGCTGCCTCTAAGATGGTAAAAAAGTCCTCGTGGCCTTTTTCTTGGGTGCAGAACTCATTCCTTAATGATGGGCATGACCCACTTTATCGTTCCTATTCTTTTTTCTTTAGAGTGAGAGGAGGAAAGAGAGAAACATCCATTTATTTTATTCAGACATTGGCTGATTCTTATCTGTGCCCTGACAAGGGATCAAACCCACAGTCTGGAGTATTGGGATGATGATCGAACCAACTGAACTACCTGACCCGGGCCTACCATTCTTTTTCTTAATTTACCAAGGCAGGCCAATAGGAGCCTCCTAGCCTCTACTCAAGAGGCCAGTTTGCATGCCAGGCCTCTGCTTGAAAGATCTCTTAAACATTTCTTCATCTCATTACCTTTTTTCTTTTTTTAAGTCGTATGTGTAGTAAAAATGTCAACTGTAACAGAAAAGTAAGTGTTTTGTTTCCTATAAACTTGAGGTTATTTCTGTACTCTCCCAATATATGAGAACATCAACTCCCCCGCCCGCCCCCCTACCCCCATCAAAACAAAAATCAATATAAAGTAATGGGTAAGTATGGGGAACTTGGTGCAAGGTGTCTTTTGAGTTTAAAGTTTTCAAATTTATTTCTAGTACTGCTTTAGCTAAAAAGGTGACTATATCTGTTGAATAATTTATTTTTTTAAATCCTATAGCCAATTAGAAATGAGCTTATTCATAAAAGTACAGTATAATCCAGTAAACCTGTAATTTTATGTATAAGCTAGTCTCTGATTGAAACATGCAACAAATGTCTAAAGTCTTAAAGGCAATCCAGGTGCAGCAGTTAGTAGTTGCTCAGTGAGTGGTGGTCTTTGACCTGCTAGTTGTGCATTCCTGGTACTGTGGAAAGAGCACAGGCAACTCATAGCTCTGGAACTGTGAAAGTTAACCAACTGGTGCTTTCTGCTATTGACTTAGCTTGGGCTTTAACTCTGACGCAGAGACATATAGTGACATAGCCAGAGAAACTACCTTGCCACTCACCAGTTTCAATGTAAACTACCATGTGTTGGTGAAGTGCCACATGGTAGAGTAATGCCTAAATATATTATTTATGAAAGCAGATCTATGTTGTTCTTTAAAAGAATGATGTTATTTTTTAATGCTGTGTGCTGCTTAAAAAAAAAAAAATGAAGCATCAAATAAAAATTAAAGCATCCCACTACCAGAAATAGTGTGTTAAACTAAACTTTGTAAAGAAAACTCAGAAGATTCTCATGCATAGTATGCCTCCTGAAAATCTCATCAAATTGATTACACAATATTTGTTAATGTCGGCCTTGCTTTTCTCATTATCTTTCCAGGCTCGTATCATAAGATATTCTGCAATGAAACTGTCACTGATAATGTACATTGGTTTTTTCTCCTATACTTTGTCACATCCACCTGGACAAAGTAACAGTTGTGTTTACCACACTCTATGTGGGTGTGAGTTTGATATGTTTTACTAAACACTGGCAGCAAAAAATCATTCAACGTTATTAAAGGGAAAGTAACTTTACTTTCATACTCATATGGAAAGGGACACTTGACAGTTTAGATTTGTTTGGAGAAAGTGTCAGGTTAAAAGACTGAAGAATCTTTAGTTTGGCTATGTGTATCCCAACATGTTTTCCCCAAAAGCAGTGCTCTGATTTGGTCTAAATCTCTTTTAGAATTGTTTTTATTGCTTGCTTTGTTAAAATGGGTATTGTTCAACTCAGTCTCTGAACTGGGTTTTAAATACCTTGATCTACTTCCAAAATCCTTGCCACTCTTAAGGAACAGGAAAAGTGCCATCATTACAGATAGAGTTACTCTCCATATATGCAGTAGTTAGGTTCTATAGAATCGACGAGAATGCCGAATTAGCAAATACTGATCATCTTCTAGGGCAGGATTCTTTGAGCCTCTGATCATAGCAGTTTGTCAGCAGCTGTATGCATAAACGTGCTTTGTGTGTGTTTCTATTTAAAGACACCTTATTTTTTATATATTGTTGATTCATTAATATTGAACTTGCCAGCAGCACTGTAACTCCATGAATGAAGCTTATCTAGCGTGTATTTTCTCCCTGAGATACATCAGAGCCCTCTTGTGCTTAGAGACACTAGACTGCTCTTCAGCACTATTTGGGGGCCTTTTAAACAAGAATTACCAACAAAAAACACAAGAGCAAAGAAACTTCTCACTAAATAGGTCGTGAAAAGAATCTTTTTACAAGTATGAGCTGAAACAAGGCAGAGTATTGTCTTGTTCCACCTCAACTGAGAACACTTGTCAGGTGACTCAAGTCTTTCACTGTTGTTTGCATGTCTGAATGTCAGTGAAAACACTGCAAGTATCAATTTGGGGGTTACAGGTAAATTTAGCAAGTATATTAATTTGCAAATACAAAATCTGTGAATAGTGGGGATTAAGAATCTATATATATTTATAAAAGCCTAAGCAACTGTCACAACCAAAAGGGACAACTGAACAGCCTGCATGGGGCGACCGGGCCAGCAGGGGACTTAATGAGGGATGACCAAACGACTGAGTTAGCAGGCTGTGGGGGGTGACCAGGCTGGCAGGGGCAGCAGTTAGGGTTGACCAGGCCTGGGGGGGAAAGGGGTAGTGTAAGGCGACCAGGTCGGGGAGGGGGGGGCATGAGGGGCGACAAGGCTGGTGTCGGGGAGCAGGCTGGGCTGAGGGGACTTACCTCCCTCCCCCCATGCACGAATTTTGTGCATCGAACCTCTAATATAGAAGAAGGTCTCAAGCTCAGTTTTCTTCTCAATTCATTCCTATAAAGCTTTGAGCAATGGCACCATAAAAGTAGTCACCTTTGGGAGCTTCAACAAAGGGGGCAAGCATATGTGTTCAATTACAATCTTATTAGCTATATTTTTACTGGAAGTTAACTCTGATTTCAATGTTAAAAGGTTAATTAGCTTAAACTCCAATAACTGAAGGACTTGCACTTAAATATAAATCTAAGTAAAACCTTAAAGTCCATTGAGAAATACTTCTACACACTGATGAGAATTGTAACTTACTCTTAACATTTGTAAATGAGGTGCATTTTACTTATGTTGATAATTGTTTTAGCAGATACACAAATGAATGGGGGAAACCCCTTTGCAAGTAGAGGAGATGAGGTACAGGTTGGGTGTGAGGTGCTCTGCTCCTTAGCATTGCCTCCCTTAGGGAGTGGGCCTTACTGGGATAACTGCTTTGTTTACCACACAGGTGCTTTGCTTTTAGAATGATCCACCCTGAAACGCAGCAGGAACAGGAAGATGGGGAGTGTCACCCAGAAGTGACTTCGTATTTTTGTTTTGTCTTTTTATTTTTTCTTGTTATTTTTACATTCTAAATTGTCACTTCTTTTTAATAACCTTATAGATTTATAATAGAAAACTGAATAAAATGTGCCTTGAGGATTTTCCTATTGTTTTAAGTCGTATTAGAATATAGTCTCATATGTTGTTTTCCCCTTTTCCTGCAGGCTAAGAATTTAAACAGCTTATTTTTCTCTCCCAGGATTCTTTTTTATTTAAAAAGTCTATTTGCATTGAAATTATCGAATAGTTTCACATTTGGACTCATTTTCAAGGCATTATACTTTGGAAAAACTTCAGATACTGGACAAACTAAAGAACTAAAAATTTTTAATCTGAAACAATTTACTCAAGATATGTAGTCAGCTTTGAGACAGTTGTTTTGAAAGTAATTCAGTGTCATCTTTCTCTTCAGGCTTCAGGGACGACTTCTTAGGAGGCAGGGGAGGGAGTCGCCCAGGTGATCGGCGAACAGGCCCCCCGATGGGGAGTCGTTTCAGAGATGGCCCTCCTCTCCGAGGGCCCAATATGGATTTCAGAGAACCAACAGAAGGTATGGCGGCAACTTGTAAAGGTGCTTAGAGAGTGCCTTTTCATGAGATTTTGTACCTCATAGACATTTGCCTTCTATAACCCATGCATGGTTACTGTAGACCCACCCTTGGTCTTAGATAGTAAGTTTATCTTTATTGTGTATCTAGGAATAGAATAGTTCTTCAAAGCTGTTAATTTTTAGAAATTGGGCTGGGCTGTGGAGATCATTTTACCCGGTGGGGAATGAATGGGATCCATCCTTTATAAACCTTGTTTTTCCCCTCCCAGAGGAAAGAGCACAGAGACCACGGCTCCAGCTTAAACCTCGAACAGTTGCAACACCCCTGAACCAAGTAGCCAATCCCAACTCTGCTATCTTCGGGGGAGCCCGGCCCAGAGAGGAAGTTGTCCAAAAGGAGCAAGAATGAGCTGGCGGTTGGGAGGGAATGGGGTTTGGGGGCAGTTAGAGCAAGACCGAAGCCTGGCTAGCCCCCTGGACCGGCAGTCCTGCAGTTACCATTCCTGCGCCTGACCTTTGTCCTCCTTTCTTACAAAGGAAACAGAGCTTGTGAGTGCATGTCAGCAGTTAACAAGTGGTTTTTAGTACATTCTTGGCTTTGCTGTATCTAGTGCCTGTTTCGTGCTTTCTTTTCTCTGCCACTCCTTTCCCCATTTCCTTCTGTCCTTTTTCCTTCTTGTTCCTTGTTTCCTTCCAGCACATGAGTTTCTCTAAAGGGACAAAGGCAGCCACCGTGTGGAGAGCTCTTTTGAATTGAGGTGCTGTTTCATTTTTCTCCTTCACTTTCTCATTTTACTTTAAACACACTGGCCAGATTCCAGTCACTTCCTTTCGATCTTGCCTTTCTTTCTTTATTTTTTTTTTTTTTTTTTTTTTTTTTGTCTTCTCCGACCTGCATGTTGAGTTCTGTATTTCTGTGGCTTTCACATACACATACACAAAATAAAAAATTTTAAAAAAAGAAACCACACACACACAAAAGAAGTCACAAATTGAATAGCATTGTTTTTATTCAGCTTTGATCAACATACAGATTTGGAAACACCTTGTTTTCAAAACAAGGATAAAATGTCTCTTGATTCTTGCAAATTTCCTCCATCCTATTTATAAGTAGTCCTGTCTCTGTGGCCCCCTCCCCAGATGGATTGTTTGAGCAGAATGGGTTCAAATTTTGACAGTGAAACTTAAAGGGTAATGTGAAGTGTTTGTAGGGAGTTTACATGGGAGGATCAGTTGTATTCACATGTCTTATTACTGCTTTTTCAACACTGTCCAAACTGGTTCCCTCCTTTCACCAGCTTAGGAGTGGCTCCTCTGGCTGCCTGAATGTATCCAACTACCTGCTGCTGGTTTCCTTTCTACTGGGCACAGGTGCTTTGGGGGACTAAAGGGTAGGGGTGGGGGGTGGTAGAGCTGTGCTGGGTTCACTTTATAGTGTGAACATTGCTTTTTCCAAATCCCCGTTATCTGTGTATTCTGCATCTCTCCCTTGCATTTATCTGTTCCCTAGTTTAACAGTGAGATACCGTGCTTCCCACCACCCTTTACTTTTATAATGAAAATTAAAATGGGCCTAGAATCTGGCACTTTACTCTGTTTCACTTGATGAATTGAGAATTTTACTATGCATAGCTATCAAGAACCTTAAATGGTAGGTGGCTGTAAGGTCTCATCTTTGGGACAGAGTTCATTGTTCCCACATACAGTGTTCCGCATTTACCCAGGGCTAGGGGTCTAGGCAATAGCTTTTGAACTTGAACACCCATATGTGGACAAATTAAATTCAATAGCACCCGAGTCCCACTCGTTTTATTGGGAGAAATTCAAGATCAGCCAGCAGCTAGAGCGGTAGAAGAGGCCCTCGCCAGCACACCAGGGCTGAGGGGAATCCTGGCCAGCGCAGCGCGCTTAGATAGTAGTTAGTCCCTAGCTGGCGTCCTTGGTGTCTACTCTGTCTTGTTGCAAGGTCTCGGCCGTTTACAGAACTCTCTCTCCTTTCCTTCCATCTGTCATCTTTGCTTCTGAAATAAGAACCATTTGTGTAACACTAATACTTAACTTAAGAAAGACATGCATTATGTGGTTGTAACCAAACCTGATGCTTTCAGATGACCTACTTATATCTTCAATGTGGAAAAGATTAAGAACAAAACAAATTCATCTACACTTCTGGGCAATCCAGTTGACTTTTAAATGTAAGAATGGAATTCCAAACACTTAACACATTCAACTATATGACAGAAAGTAAATCTATGGATATGGTATTTTGTGAATGATCTTTTAAATAAAAGAAAACCTTACGTAATATTTAATGCTGTCTTTATTTTGAGGTGTTTTTTGTTTGTTTGTTTTAGCTGCTTATAAGATTAACCATTTTTAATTTGGGAAGCAATATCCAAATTTAGTAGAATACTGTAATTTAAGAGACAGAAACTGCTTACTTTTGGAAGTTACAGGATTAGTGAAATTAAGAGCTAATGATTAGAAATAGGATGCCAGATCCCCCCCAATCCATTTTCTAAAAATGTAATTTTCCTAATATAGCAACCTTACATGATGTGGCTGTAGTTTTTCCCATTTGTTTTTTATGACTTTGTTTTTAGAAGAAATTCTAGATACTCCTCATGACAATGATGGGTGCTACTCCAAGCAAGCAGATCATGTTTGGGGAAGAACTGCTGTGTAGTTTGATGGTTTTATGACTGTGGTCAAGGTACAAGGCTTTGAGCTGTTTGGAAGAGGCCAGGCTGGCACTGGAGAGTGATGGTAGAGAACCTGGCACGGTGTAGTTTGCTTGCCTAAAGGTGAGAACCTTGATGGCAGCTTGACCTGGAGAAATAAGGTGGGCGGTAGGAGCTGTTCTGGTGAGTGCATGCGTGACTGTTTACTTCAACTGCTACCCAGCCAAGAACACGGAGGAGAGGATTTGTTGCCTACTGATGTTTTCTTTAAGGGGGAGACCCGTCTCCTGGAGGTATTTTCTAATGGCCGGAGGCTTGAAATCCAACTCTGAGGCTTCTTTCCAAAGGTGCTGTTAGATTCCATCTTTGGAGGACCTGTAGAATGTTTAAACCCTTGAAGAATCAGCTAGGCTTCCCAGGAATTCAGAGGTTTTTAAAAATCTGTTCTTGAGGTACGCACTCCTACCAGAGATCAAACCCACAACCAGGATATGTGCTCTGGCCGGGAATCAAACCGGCGACAGCTTGGTGCACAGAACACTCAGCCAACTGAGCCACCGTGGCCAGGGCCAGAGGTTTCTTTATAGTTGAAATGAAACTCCTGTGCAGCTGTCTTCCTGCTTCTCCCCATATATTGCTATAATTTTACAGAGGTTGCTTCTCATAAGCACCTCCATGGTATGTAATAGTTCTGTAATATTACAGAAAGTATTTTAGTATCTGCCTCCCATCCATAAGTTAACTGAATGAAGAGAGAAGGGTACAACTTTCCCCAAAGAAGTACCTAAATAAATAGGCTATGTGAATATTCCAAAGATAGGTTTAAAACAGGTAATGCCTGATTTCTCTGTGTTATTGAGCTGGTTTCAAAGAAACAAAATGTAATGAAATTACAAATGGGAGTCCCTTAATAGGTTTCTACGAATGTTCTTACCTTGGAATCCATTGTCAGGCCAGATTGGTGCAGCGTTGGTGGAATAGTGGTGAGCATAGCTGCCTTCCGGCGGCCAGATTGTTTCTCCAGGTCCCAGGAAAAGGAACTGTTGCCACAGCAGACTTCAGAGCCTGGGTTTCCTTTCATGACTCAAATGTCCTCTCTCTTCAGGGAGGTCTTAGGGAGCAGGCGTAAAGAAGGAAGAAGTTGGAAGTGGACATTTGGGGAAAGGAGGGAGGTGTTGCAATTTTACCTACTGTCCACTTTCAACTTGTGATATTTAAGGGTTAGCCTGGTTTTCTCTAAGAGATTACTTGGTAGAGCTTAAATCTAGAACCAGAAGAGCTAACTAACATCAATTTGTAGAGCCACTCGGTCTTGAGACTCAGTAGAAACAGCATATATTTATTTATTTCGGGGGGGGGCGTCAATGATGAGGGAGAATCATTCATCGACTGTCTCCTGCACACCCAACACGGGATTGAGCCTGGGATATGCCCTGAACAGGAATCGAACCATGACTTCTTGGTTCACAGGTTGACGCTCAACCACTGAGCCATGCTGGCCAGGCATAGAAACAGCATTTCTTTGCAGTGTGAGGAGATTGGTTTTTAAACAGCCTTATAATCTGTTCTTTTCACAAGTACTTTTAAGTACACTTTCGTTCTTTCACCTCGGTCTTCAAATTCCATTGGCTGTTAAGATCATGCAGAGCCACTGCCACTGACAAGGTTCACTCTGGACTGTCAACTGCAATAGGACCTGACAGGGCCCGGTGTCGTCCTCGGTGCTTCTTTGATCTGGTGGAGAAGGATGGGCAGCCCATTTTCTGTTCAGCTGCTTGCTATCTGCCCAATGGGACTTCTCACCAGTGCCCTTTCAGGGGAACGGGGAGGAGAGGACAGGACAGCAGTCCATGCTGCGTGTCACAGGTGGCTGTTGCCTGGGCACCTCGTGCTTAAGGAGTGGCTTGCCTGGATCTGGCCACGTGTGACCTTTCTTGGTGAGGAGCTTTGTTCTATTTTCCATATTATCTTGGCCAGTGTTTTACATCGTTGATATGATGAGTTACTTTCTCATTACTGTGAGGTTAACAGGCTGATAAGCTTCTTAAAGTCTGGTGTCTTACAGTCTTTGTAAGTTTTTTTTTTGTTTTGGTTTTTTTTTCTTTCTTCTTTCTTGATCAGTACTTTTTATTTTTTTCTTTGTAAGTTTTTTGTCATGAAATGAATCAGAATGATGGAGACTATGTATTTAATTGTAACCTACTAATCTCTTCCCCCACCTGTAACCACCCTCTTATTGTAAAATAGTAAATATACTAATAAAGCAAACTATTTCACAGCAGCAGGCTCCTTGGTATTCATTTTGGACACTAGAGAGAATTTGTTTCTTATACCTATTCTGTTCATTGCAGGGGACAAGGTAAATATTAAAATCATTACTGGACTAGGCCTAGCCAGTTGCTCGGTGGTTAGAGCATTGGCCTGCGCACTGAAGGCTCTTGGGTTCAGTTCTAGTCAAGAGCATGCAGGCTTGATCCCTGGCTCGGGTCAGGGCTCATGTGGGAGGGAACCGGTCGATGTTTTTCACATCAATGTTTCTATCCCCCTCCCTCCTACTTTCTCTAAAAATCAATGGAAAAAATATCCTTGGGTGAGTATTAATAAAAATCATTACTGGCCTAGAAGCTTATCCTTCTAAACAGGATTAGGAGGGAGGGAATCAGAATCTTGTTTTCTTTTAATACCTTGAATCATAATAGCACCATCAATTTTTAAAATATATTTTTAT